AAGAGACCATCTCTCTTTTCTTCCCTTGACTTCTGGGGCTGAGACCTGGGGCCAGAGGACCTCCAGGTACATGGCCACTAGCTGCCGGCCCAGCTGAATGCCCATTGAGTGGCACGAGGCAAAAGACAACATCCCCTGAACCGAAGCGTGGCATGAGGCCATGCCAGGAGAGCCGGATTTAACTAACCAGATTAACACCCCTCCCCCTCAGTCTCCCACCAGCATCCATTAAAAGACACACGTTCACATTCTGCATAAGAAGCAGTAGTGGAGCAGGGTTATTGGCCAACTTTCTCTAGCAGCCACCTGTGCATTTCCTCAAGGCCTTCAGCCTTCCTGATTCCAACCCGACATTGATTGATAACGGCGTTTCTCTACCCCATCTAGTTCACCCCCCTGGTGAAGTACATGGACACAAAGCACAGAGTGAGGAGAAGCCAAAAGTTTCCATTTTATGGATCTGTACTGATCATGCGAAGCTGTTTGTGCAACCAAACCTCTCTGCGGACGGGCAGTGGAACAACCCCGCATGGTTCTCTTGGGTCTATGGGGAAGCGCCCACATTGGGGCATGGTTTGGAGATACCAGGAAAGTATTTGTAGTGTAGTTCACATTCAAACATGGTCTTTACCTCCTGCTGCTCCTCCCCCAAACCCTGAGCAGCTCCCTCACCCAGATCCTCAAAGGTTAGACTGGAAGCAGGGGCTGATTTCACAACCCAAAAGGAGGTACGTGTGCCTGGCTGGGGTGGGGTATTCATAATGCATTTGGGGCGAGAGGCTGAACAAATGTAAATCCACAGAAAGAAAAGCCTTTGTTCCTGCTAATTTAGGGCAACAGTCATGCTGTCAGCAGGTGAGGTCTTTAATATGGCGGGCAGCCCCTGACGACAAGGGTTGCCAGATGGTTTAACTAAAAATACCGAACACCCCCGCCCCCCCCCAAAAAAAAAAAAAAACACCAGGGAAAAAAAAGGGGGAGACCAAAATTGTTGAGCAAAAAAAAAAAAGGACCCTGAGAGTTAACCAAAAAAAATTAAAAATAAAACAACATGGCCCCTTTAAGAAGAGCATTTGAAGCTTTTTGCCAGTGGCCATCTTGTTTTCCTGATCAAGCCAGAAGACAGCTTCTCTGCGGAACCAGGTAAGCGGGGAGTCCGGGGGGCTTAGAGGCCCTGGGAGGGATTCGGGGGCTGAGTGTGGGTAGGGTTGCCAGGTGTTTGGTATTTTCACCTCCTGGCAGGGGAAAAAAAATCAGAAAATACCAGACATTTTAGGTGTCCGGTATTTTCTGAATTTTTTTTACCGGACAGGAGGCGAAAATACCAGACTGTCCAGGTCACTACCGGTCACCTGGCAACCCTAATGATGACTATTAATCCCAGCATGCAGTGCTCCCTCTTGAGCGGCATACAAGGACCCACAGGGGACAAGAACAGGGGCTTTGCATGCTGGGAGTGGTATGCAGATTAGGTGCAGTGCTCTGGGGCACTTGGCCCCTTCCAGGTAATGCCCCCAGTGAGGCGGCTGAACAGCTCTGCCTGATGCTATGAAAGCTGATCCAGAGGATGGAAACGATGAAGACGTTGGTGCTCATATAAAGACTACACTAAGTTGACCCAGTCTCTAAAGTATTAGTCAGCAGTCTGAAAATCTGCACTGACAGTTTTAAAGGGACACTGTCGTATCATTTTAGTGCATAATTTGATTCTTTAAAAAAAGATGTGACCGTATTGTCCATTCGTTACTCCCCCACATCAAAAGCCACCTTGACTCTGCATGGACCATTGTCTGAGCGCTCCTCTTCTGAGTAGCTACTCCAAAGTGGAGCGCCATTTCTGCTGGCCACACAGGTGACGTGGGCATGCAATGGGAGTGAAGAACAAATGGAGGCCTTGACGATTTGTGCTTCTCTAGAAACGTATGGGAAAACTGCCCATTGATTAAAAGGAACAAGATCAATAGAGGAATATTCATTTTCCAAAAGTCTCGGAGGATTTGCAAAAGGACAGAGAGCACTTATAAATAACTGCAGTTAATGCTCACAATGCTTCGTGAGGCAGGTAAGTATTTTGCCATTTTACAGATGGGGAAATCACAATTTGAATGACTTGCGCAAGGCCACAAAAGTGAGTGGTGAGGCTGGCACTCTGGAGCCCGTGCTCTGACCACTAGGTAACACTGCATCTTGCTATATACAGCGTAAAAGTGATTAAAACAATTAAAAACAGCTGACAGTGTCCTTTTAAAGATTCAGTTGACTGCATCTAACTTTTACACAAGGATTTTTTACTCTGAAGAAGTGACATTTACGCCTGTTTGTGGCATTATGAAGGAATTCCCAGAAGAAGTTTAGACTGAAAAAATGGTTTGGTTTTCCTCACATATTTTCATCGCAAATACCTGGAGCAAGCACTAAAAGTGAGGCTGGTACTCATTGTCCCGCCTGAAAAAGCAGAAGAATACATAGGCATGTTTCATGTCAAGGAATTTAGTTTGATGGCATGAGCAGCGCAGACCCTACATTCACCGGCCTCTTGGACCCTTTTTGCTCCAAAATCTTAGACAAAATACTAAGAGGAGACCATATGGTTTGTAATTCTGGAAATTCCCTTGCATTAAGAACGAACCTGAACTGGCGATGTCGTAAATCAACTGATCTTAGAGGCATGTTTCCTGAACACGCATGGCCTTGTCCCATCACTACCGGCACAACCCTAACCCAAGCTGAGGCTGTCTCCAAATAGGGCACCAATACTCTTCTCATGTTTCTCACGCAGGGCAGCTGTTCTGTCCTCTTGTTGTGGACCAGTTGCCTAGCCTGCTAACACAAGGCAACCGTAAATGCGCAGCCACAGAGAACTGGTACATCTCTTCTGGAGGCACGAAGAGACTCAAAGACAAGATACCGTGAACCTGTGTGCACTGTAAGAACCATGGGCTTTCTTCAACGTGCTTTTCTGGTACTGACCTTAAGACCTAATCTGCACTATGCCCCCTGCCGATCTAAGATACTCAACCTCAGCTACACGAACAGCATAGCTGAAGTCGATGTACTAAGCAGACATGATCAATCGATTGCTGAGTCGATACACCATGTAGCGAAGACAAGCCCTAAACCTACATCATTAAGATTAGTCTTAGGTCTCTCTCTATATTTTCCTTGAATGGATAAGGATTATGATTTTTGCCAGCGGTCAGGCCCCAAAAATCTCCCTAATTGTTGGAAGCAAATCCCAATAAATATGCTAGGTTGAATTCATGGATATGGTATGTTTACTACAGGGAATAAACTGAATTCAGGATGGATTGTGGAGAGAATTTGATCTATTTGGTGCTAATTTGATATGGAGATCACAGTAGGTTACATCAGATTGTGACGTGACAGTCCAAGTAAAGTTTGGTAGTACCCAGAAAGAAATGCCACCCACATGCTCTGTTTGCATGTAATGGATTAATTCTTGCCAGCAGCATTTCCATAATCTAGAATACTGCACTCTGTTCCGATCTGGTACAATTCTGGTTGCCACAAACTCATCCGTTTCAGGGAGTGAGTTAAAAACTGACCTTCCCCTCGGTTAGAAAGACCTCGCATCTCGGAGTTGAGCTTGCAGTTGGATTAGGTAGGACGGGTAGGATTAACTGCAGCCACATTGGCTCCATTTCAATCCAGTACATACACGTTACACACCAGACCTAGAGTCTGCAGAGACTGAGGGATCACGGGACTCAGAACAGCTAATTTCTCAGGCTCCAACCCTGCATTTTGAGCACTTCTGTCTGTTACCCACAGCTTCAAACAACTCATCAACCAACCATAAAATGGAGTTTTGGGTTCTCCTGGCTCCATGAACACAAAGAGGTGCACGTCCTACCATAGGAGGAAGCAATGGCTGTTAAGTTTTACAGTTATAGTGGAAAGCACTGATCACAGCTTGCTGTCCTCATTACTGGATGTGGCAGGCGGTGGAGGAGGTGGCTTGGCAGCACATGCAGGTGGGGTTGACGGATTTAGGGGGGATTAGGTCGAGGTCTTCATCGTCTGGGATCTCATCTAACCGATAGCCATCCTTTAGCAGCTGGATGTTCAAGTCTTGGTTGATCTGCTGCAAACAAAGAAACAAACAGTCAAATGCTTGAGGCTTTTTCCTGCCCCCAAAGAGGGCAGAACGGGTTTCCCAAACATGGGACATGTGTGTCTTTCATTACCAGCTGCTAAACATCCCAGCAGTGAAACTATCCCACCAGAGTCCCCGCTGCATCCCCCGGTACCACACCCTTTCAATTTCCTCTCAACCCAAATAAAAGGCCAGGAACGCTTCCAAATGCCCATCGCCCACTACCCCTGGGCCAAAGCAGACTTCTTTTCCAGCTGCCAAGAGCTACCATACCAGACCCCATTTCTACAGCTGAAAGCCTCTCGCTTTCCCTGACTCACCAGCCAAAGTACCCTCTCAGTGGGTTTTTATCCATGCGTGGAATAAATTTTGTTACATGCACCATGGCCTGTGTGAATGTGCACCACCAGTAGAAACACACACACTGCCAGCTGTGAGTGCTCTGCTAATCAGCTAGGCGGCATTTGAATCCCAAGCACTTGGCTTACAGGGAACGCTGCTCACCAGATACTCCCTACCCTGGAGCGGGACGTGCGATTCCCGGCTGGCCTAGATATGAGCTTTAATCAAGGAAGAATGCTAAAGAAACTAGAGGAGCTGCAGCAGCCTGGACAGCGACAGAGTCTGTCTCTAGGATCTCATGCATTCCTTTAAGAGCTTCTGGGCTTCAAGCTTCAAATGCACAGGGCTGGCTGCACGGCAAACTGCCCCACCGGGGCAGTTCTATATAATGAGAGAGCTGCCAACTGAGGCTGCATGATGCCACTGCAGTTATTCTTCTTGGAGGAAGGGGATGGTTGCCAGTGGAAAGAATTCTACCAAATGCAATTCTGGTCCACTTGGTTGCAAGAGGGTTGCTCTCTCTTGTTCATTAGTGCAGAATTTAATTCTAAAAGGTACCGTTCCAGGATGAGTTTCGGAGGGAGATTTCCTCCTAATCCGGCTTTTAACAAGTTTCTTTCTTTAAAAAGGCGGATGGGGGGCTATCACTCAGAGCTCATCAACTCCCTGAAGGGAGGTTCCAAAGAGGTTGGAGAGAGGCTGTTCTCAGTGGGGGCAGATGGCAGAACAAGGTCTCAAGTTATAGTGGGGAGGTCTAGGTGGGATATTAGGAAAAACTATTTCCCTAGGCGGGTGGGGAAGTGCTGGGCTGGGTTCCCTAGGGAGGGGTGGAATCTCCATCCCTAGAGGTATCTAGGTCCCGGCTTGACAGAGCCCTGGCTGGGATGACTGAGTTGGGGGGGTCCTGCTTTGGGCAGGGGGCTGGATTCGATGAATCCTGAGGTCTCCGCCAGCCCTGCGATTCTATCATTCTAAGTGAGAACCCAGAGAGAACTCCCTGAAGCCAACGTGCAAACATGGCAGGTACTGCCTCACAAGCGCCAAAGTTTGTTGGAGTGTTTTATGCAGCAATAAGGAGCCAATATTGATACTGCACCTTTCACCCCAAAGGATCCCGGAGCATTTCACCAATAGTGACATGCACTCTACACGGGGTTATTGCAGTCTTTCCTACGTGCAGCCATGGCGGGGCTACTGCTCTTCTTTAACAATGGTGATCGAAACAGCTCCCAATGTGGATACACTGATCCCAAGCCAAGAGCGTCCACAGGATTCCACAACAGCTGGGCTGTGTCTAGACTGCATCCCTTTTCCGTAAAAGGGATGCAGATTAGACACATCGCAATTGCAAATGAAGCGGGAATTTAAATCCCCCCCATTTCATTTGCATAAAAATGGCTGCCGCTTTTTTCCGGCTCGGAGCTTTGCTGGAAAAAAGCGCCAGTCTAGACGGGGATCTTTTGGAAAATAAAGCCTTTTCCGAAAGATCCCTTATTCCTTTTTTTAAGAGGAATAAGGGATCTTTCGGAAAAGGCTTTTTTTTCATCCCCATTACCATGTGTTCCTAGGTGTTGCTCTGAGGTCTCTAGTTCACTTAGGGTGTGTCTACATGGCAAAGTTATTTCAGAATACAGGCAGTCCCCGGGTTACGTACAAGATAGGGACTGTAGGTTTGTTCTTAAGTTGAATTTGTATGTAAGTCAGAACTGGTATATATTGTAGGGGAAACTCTAGCCAAACATTTCTCCAGAGCTCAGTTTTATTCTCCCACACCTCACTTCCCTCAGTCCTTTATTCTCAAGCTGAGGTGTCTGCTGAGAAAAGCCGCTCCGCGTCTCCCTGGTCTGCTGGGGGGAAGCAGCTAGTGCGGGGTTGCCTCACCCCGTTTGTAAGTAGGGATCCGATGTAAGTCGGATCCATGTAACCCGGGGACTGCCTGTAATGGCTGTTATTCAGAAAAAACTATGCGAGCGTCTACAGAGCAATTCCGTATTTTGAAATAATTTTGCAATAACGGACGGCTTATTCTGGCTGCTGTAAACCTCATTCTACGAGGAATAACGCCTCTTCCAAAATAGCTATTTCGAGGTAAGGCATGTGTAGACGCTCCACTGCTGTTATTTTGAAATAGCCCCTCACCAGGGCCATTCTAAGTTATTCCTCCTGGGGCTCTAAATCGAGATAGCACGTCTACATTAGGGAAGCCGGCCTTGGACTCATTTTGAGGCTTCCCTGCAGTGTAGACCTACTATTTCAAAATGAGGTATTTTGGAATAACTAATTCGGAATAGCTTATTCCAAAGTCACTGTGCAGTGTCGACTGATCTGGCCTGACCTTGCTTGGCTGCCCAGACCTGATGGCATAACTGAAGAGGCCCCAGATCCAGTCCAGACTTCTTCACCTGACTCTGGCTCTCAGCTGTCTCTTGAAGGGTTGATTGTGGTTTGCCAAAAGGAGGGACTGAAGGAGGAGCAGTCTCCTGTGGCCCAGTGGCCACTAGCCTAATTTGATCCTTTGGGTACGCAAAGTAAGGAACCAGTGGCTGACGAGCTGATTCACTCTAGATGGTTGAAAAGCACTTAGGAGATGATGCTGAAGAACCAGCACGGCTGAACTCTCGTTTTTCTCCCAAAGGAAAAGCCAGAAAGAGCTTATCTACAAGCTCCTCCTGAGACTCCCGCTTGCCCTGGTTGTGTGGCCGGATCACAGAGCCTGGAGTGACCCCGGTACTCAAGCACGTGTCGACATTCCACATGCGGAGACGGCTGTGAGCAAACTCGACGGTCGCATCCTGTGGACTTCCTACAGGCGCACATGTCAGGTGGATGGTTCCCACGGCTGCCCTGGCCTCCAATCTCGCACGTTTGTGTCTCTTGTGCCAGGGCGCCATACACTGGAGGGCTGCCAACGTGGAAAGCAATTTTTGACCACTACGGGATAAAACTTCTGGTGGTGTAACCCACACACCTACTGGGCATGGGTCACTGTCCCATGTAGTAGCACCGAGACCACTTAGAGAGAGAGAGAGAGAATGAGTGTGCTCTTTGGCCTTAGCTGTGAGCCAGCTGGCTTTTAGCTCACGCATTAAACTCCTGTCAGCGTTATATTAAGATCGCCAGTGAAAACATGCCAGGGGGAATTCCGGCCTCTCTCAAGTGGATACGTGGAGAGTCTGTTAGCTCAGTTAGGGGAGAAGCACCTGCCATGTTTATTCCAAGATTCTTTCCCCGCCCACAAGTGTTGAGGCTAAATTCTTTACCCAGCTCTAGGAATTTCTTGCTTTGATGAGTAACATTTAGGGCAAGGCAGGCAGAAGAGACTGTAACTCACCTCAGCTGAAGAATATCCCGAGGAGGAATATCTGGACATGTCAAAGTCATCATCGCTGAGGGGAGACAAGATACAGCAAGGAGAAGGAAACAGTTAAAGAGACTTGTTCTCTCTTTAGCATCCTGCCTCTCTATCTTTTGTCCATGCTGTGATCTCGACTCCACGCACGGGGAAGTTTATATATGCATGGGGCAACTTTCATCAACAGATCTCAAAGCCCTCCGCCTGCCCCAGTTTTATAAAAGCCTGAACATGAATATCTCCATACCCATTTCACATGTATGGAGAAAGGTGGATTAAGAGACTTACCCAAGGTCACAAGTTGGTAGAAGAACTAGAACAAGTGGTGGAAGCAGGAGCCTGGGAGATCAGGACTCCAGAATTTCAAGACTACACCCCTTGCAAGAAACAATGCCAGATACTGATATACAATCTTACTGTTAATTAACACTTGTCATACCTGTCCGTATCCAGGGCGACCAGTGGCTTTTCATCTGGGCTCTGATCTAATGAGGAATAGCCTTTATTGGGAACAACCAGCCTGCAAGAAGTAAATTTTTTCCATTAAGCACAAAATTCATTTCAGAACCATTTAACACCCCAGACCAAGTCATAATATCGCCTGGTTATCAGAGAGACCGCTCTCTCTCATTCTGCAGAACGTCACTTTCGTTGAACAACTCTGTCCCTTTCATGAAGTTGCTTAGGCTGAGCGCGGTAGAAAAAATTAACTGATGTGCCAGTCATCTACGCTTTACAATTAAATGGAACCAAGTTTTGTCTCTGGTTAGCTGTCAGGCCAGTTTTAATGGGATGAACGAGCTAGCCATCTCTTAGAAGTACACTCCTCCCTCGCCGGACACAGCTGTTACTTTCTAGTGTTTCAGTCTGGTGGACGCGTTGCACTAGAAAGACTTGTAATGTAGGAATGCTTTTTGGGAGCAGTAAAGTGATCACATTAGCCAATAAGCAAATGTAATGAGGAGACATCAGAAGGCAGGCGCCATGAGTACCTCTAAGGCTAGGTCTATACTAGAGGGCAATGTTAAATTAAGGTGTGCAACTCCAAGTACCTGAAAACCGTAGCTGACGTTCACGTACCTTAGCTCAAGCTACTGCAGCATCTCCACAGTGGGGGGTTGATGGGAGAAACTCTCCCGTTGGCTCCCCTTACACTTCTCAATCTGGTGGAGTACCGGAGTCGACAAGACTGTGATCAGCAGTTGATTTAGTATGTCTTTACTAGACCCGTTAAATCAACCCCTGGGGGATCAATCCCCACAGCACCAATCTTCTAGTGAGTGTAGACACGGCCTTGAATTCAAAATGGGTGAATCTTTGGCCTTATGGAGCTTAATCCTTAGCTAAATCCCAAGAGATTTGCTATGCCATTCTCCACTCTCACTCTGCCAGCGGTTTGAGACTTCTTACGCTAAAATTCAGAAAGCGGGGGGCTAGATTTAGCGAGGTGAGAGATGGTCCAGAGAGCTGTCACTGGGAACTCATTTCAAGATTATGACTTTCTCTTTAGACCACGGCTCAAGTGGCGCATACGTCTTCAGGATCTCACATGATGCTTGCAAGGGATCCAGTCTCTGTCCAACATGCATCTGCCAGAGCTGAAAGTACTGAGCAAACAGACCCAGGTTTGGGATCTGCTGTGATCAGTTTCCCAGCCATCCTTTTCAATGTAGGAATGAACTGATCCATGCACAGCAGAGGAGTTGGGGGGAGGAAGACTGGCCCGTGGCCGTCTCAGCAGCCCAGAAGGGATGGAGAAGAAAAAAGAGCAAAGATTCAGTGTCATGAGACTGCTTCAGTGCATGGCAACACAGTGTGACGATGATGGCATCATATTGATGCCACATCTGGACTTTACACCAGGACACTCACAGACCTGCCTGTCGCCCATTATGTGATGACAAAGTGTTCTTCAGCTCTTAGAGTCTGAGCATTCCTGTCCCAGGACAATCTTCCTCGGACAGGAATCTTTAGAACAAGAAGCAAGGGGCTTAAATTGCAGCAAGGGAGGTTTAGGTTGGACATTAGGAAAAAGTTCCTAACTGTCAGGGTGGTCAAACACTGGAATAAATTGCCAAGGGAGGTTGTGGAATCCCCATCTCTGGAGATATTTAAGAGCAGGTTAGATAAATGTCTATCAGGGATGGTCTAGACAGTATTTGGTCCTACCATGAGGGCAGGGGACTGGACTTGATGACCTCTCAAGGTCCCTTCCAGTCCTAGTATTCTATGATTCTGCATTGCATAAAGGTGCCTGCAGCAAGTCAGCGTGGCCTCCCCCAGATCCAGATGTTTACAGTGCCCTTTGGAAACCACTAGCCATTTCATGCCCTGATACAGGGGTATGAAGGGGACACGTGCTAAACTTGAAGCACATGCGTAAAGGTATGTTTATACTGCCATGGAAGCCCAGTGAATGCAGAACCTGAGTTAGCAGACCCTGGGTTTGTTAATCTAGGGCGATTTGTTTGGAAACCTCTTAGGAACTGTTGAACCCTGGGACCAACCTGGGGCCCCAGCATTTCAACTGGGCCCAAGTCTAACCATCCATATCCCAGACTTCCAAGCCCCCTCCCAAAATATGGCCTCTCTAATAGGGATGTAAAATCCCATTTAATTAGTTAACCAGTTGAACCTCTCTAATCCGGCACTCTCAGGTCTTGGAACATCCATGGTCCAGCATGATTTGAGTGAGCCGGATGCCCATGTATCGTGGGTGTGGCCAAGTTTCCTGCAGCCCCATAAAGTTTGTTTACAGCCTCCAGTCCTGGCGCTCAGTGTTCTGTGCTGTTATTTAGCTCTAATTTACCCCTCAATGTCTTTTAAGAGCCCAGCAAGTGCTGGTAATGCTGCTAGACAATGCTGACCTCCCATGATAGGGGCTGCTCCAGCCCAGTGGAAACAGCCTGCCTTGACAGGGGCTGCTGGGGCTGGGCCCGAGCGCCCCTGTCTGCGGTGTTCTCAGTAGTGACAGGTGGCAGAACAAGGAGCAATGGGCTCAAGTTGTGGTGGAAGAGGTCCAGGTTGGATATTAGGAAAAACTATTTCAGGCGGGTGGTGAAGCGCTGGGATGGGTTCCCTAGGGAAGTAGTGGAGTCTCCATCCCTAGAGGTGTTTAAGTCCTGGCCAGGTTGATTTAGTTGGGATTGGTCCTGCCTAGAGCAGGGGGCTGGACTTGATGACCTTCTGAGGTCTCTTCCAGCTCTATGGTTCTATGATTCTAAGGGGTGAGAGCAGCCCCCACTAGTTAAACAGAACCGATAAGCATCACTCGTTCAGGGTGACGCTTACTGGTTAATCGGTTAACCTTTCACATCCCTACTCTCTAACCTAGGGGTGGGCAATAATGTTTGTAGGGGGGCCATTTCACCAATGTTGGTAGAGGTTGTGGACCAGCCGCAAGGGGCGGAGCCTTAGGCAGAAGGGCGGGACCTCGGGCGGAAGGGGCGATTCCCTCCAGGCACCATGTGCGAGAGGGGTGGCGGGAGGAGACTTAGCGCCCTCCTGCAGGGGTGAGGGAGCACGAGAGGTCTCTCCGCCCCGCCCTGCCAGGGGCACGCAGTGCCCAGAGGGAACCGCCAGCTGTTTTGAACAGCTGGCAGTCCCTTCTGGTGCCGCATGCCGCTGGTGGGGGAAGGAGTCTTCGCACGCTCCCCCACCTCTTGGTCTCGACTGGCCCGGGGACAGCGGCGCAGCAGGGAGGGCCGTGGGCAGGATCAAATGGCTTGGTGGGCTGGATCGGGCCCCTGGGCCGAATCTTGCCCACCCCTGCTCTAACCCTTTGTTTGTGGTCCAGTTTGGGAAAACTTGACTGTCCAGAGGAGAAAGGAAGCCAGCTCCTGAGACTGGGGAACACTTCTGGGAGCATCAGTCTACACTGCAAAGCAAAAGGGCTCGAACTGTGGGTCCTGACTTGACTCAGGCTGGTCCCAAGGGGTCCCGGGACCCTAAGTCTGAGCTCTGAGTTAGCAGGATCTGTATGTAGTCAGAAGAGGGCTAAGGCTTGAGCCTGAATTTGAACCCTGGCCTTATATTACAGTGTAGACATAGCCTTAGTCACATTGATGACTGAGATTTAAGCAACTGTTTAAGAACTCTTCCTGAAGAGGGATTCTCTCCTGGACAGAAGCCTCGGTTATTTTTAGTTGTTTAAAGCAGATTTAAAAATACTCAGTCTATCACAGCAGGGTTCCATGTTTACAGGCTGTAATTTTATACACATTATTTACATCGTGCTATGAACAGATACAAAGCGGTGCAAGACACGAAATAGGACAACCCATGCCTGGACATAAGAACATAAGAACGGCCGTACTGGGTCAGACCAAAGGTCCATCTAGCCCAGTATCCTGTCTGCCGACAGTGGCCAGCACCAGCTGCCCCAGAGAGGGTGGACCGAAGACACGATCAAGCGATTTGTCTTCTGCCATCTCTCTCCAGCCTCTGACAAACAGAGGCCAAGGACACCATTTTATCCCCTAGCTAATAGCCTTTTTTGGACCTAACCTCCAGGAAATTATCTAGCTTCTCTTTAAACTCTATTATAGTCCTAGCCTTCACAGCCTCCTCTGGCAAGGAGTTCCACAAGTTGACTACACGCTGTGTGAAGAAGAATTCATAATTCAATTTAGACCAAACCCAGTGTTGGCCAGCAGTTTAGCAAGATGCGCACTAGGTATGCCTGGGGGGAACATGGGTTTTAAGGAGCAGTCTGAAGGACAGAGGGGTCTGACGGCTGCTTGATATGTTGAGGGAAGAACAAAGGGCATAAAGATGGAACTGGAATAAGGAGACAGCTAGACACTGCTTCTTTTCACAGGGATTTTTCCGGTTTTTCAGCATTACACTTTCATAGATGCCACAGAGATCGTGTAAGAACCCCAATGGACTAAAATGTTTTACATTAGGCTTTTGGGATTATGTGAAGATTGAATACAAGTTAATATTGTTAATCAGTATGAGATTTAAACAACACAATATAGATTCAGGATCTGGCTGGAAAGGAAACTGGTTAATTTTCATGGGGACCTAATGCACGCTGCACATAAACGACTTCTCTTCTGCATAACTGAACTGCAGAATCTTGGCCTTCATTTAAAAAATGCAACATTTCTAGCCATGCAAGCGAAGAGAAAACCTTAAAAAACACAAACCAAATTAAAACAATGGAGTAATAGCGATGAATGCAGAAGACAGAAAGAGTAATGGAGATATGAGCTGTCTCCCTTCTTTTCAGTGGTAACACTAGGGCCATCTCTTCAGTAAATGGAAGATTGATCTGGAGTTTGATTTAGTAAGTCTAGTGAAGACTCGCTAAATCGAACCCAGAGGGTGTCTCTGTCAGCATCCAGTACTCCTGCTTCTGTTATGGGGCTGGTGGAGGAATTCAAAACAAGGTAGGTCGGCTCCAGCTACGTAATCTTGATTTGATGTTGCGTATCTTGATTTGATGTTCCCTTTTAGTGCAGAGCTGACCTCAGTATTTTCTCATGATGCAGCTGAAGGATGGGGCCCCAGATTAGTTCAATGTTCCTGAAATGTCTGGCTTTCAAGAGTGGAGCGGGGCACAGTTAATTTGAAACTAAAAATGATGGTTAATTTCACCAGTGCAAAAAAGCCCATCTGCAAACCTTTCAGCTTCCCTCCTGGCAATTTTTTACAAAGCATTGGGAATCCAAACACCTACAGTGCACTGCAGACTGACAAAGGCAGAGAAGAGTAAAATACATTCAAGTTGCTATCAAAGGATGCCTGTGGACTCCCTCACTGATTGTATTATTCATCTTCTTAGTGAATTCATTCAGAACCCGCATTAAAAAAAAACGACTTGAAAGTTGCTGCAGAATTTCCAATCTGCCGCACCAGTGAGCTGCAGAAAACAAGGGACCCTGGCCCTGCCAAAGAATTTACGTCCTGTTTTCATAGCATATAGGGGCCTTTCTACTCCTGGAAAAACCCCAGCCATTGAAAGTAGAAGAAGCAATGATGCTTAGGGACAGTAGCTGATCTTATGATCCACTCGAGCAGTGCTTCTCAACTCATTTCAGTCCATGGTCCACCAGGCCAATCAAACAATTTACGTGGACCACCTCCTTTTTGAGACATGATAAAAAAGAGCAGACAATGAACATTTTGGTTTGAAATTTATTTCTTACTAACAGATTTTTGGTGCCTGCTCACGCTGTGTGACTTCGGACAATGTTCCTGTGGACCACCGAAAAAGTCACTATGGACCACCAGTGGTCCATGGACCACCAGCTGAGAACCAAAGTGCTAGAGAGTCTAATTGGATCTCAGGAATCTCAGAATCCTAGAACTGGAAGGGACCTCGAGGGGTCATCGAGTCCAGTCCCCTGCCCTCATGGCAGGACCAAGCACCATCTAGATCATCCCTGACGGGTGTCTGACTAACCTGCTCTTAAATATCTCCAGAGATGGAGATTCCACAACCTCCCCAGGCAACTTATTCCAGTGTTTCACCACGTTGACAGTTAGGACGTTTTTCCTAATGCCCAACCTCAACCTCCCTTTCTGCAATTGAAGCCCATTGCTTCTGTCCTGTCCTCAGAGGCCAAGGAGAACAATTTTTCTCCCTCCTCCTTGTAACACTCTTTTAGATACTTGAAAACTGCTCTCACGTCCCCTCTCAGTCTTCTCTTTTCTAAACTAAACAAATCCAGTTCTTTCAGTCTTTCCTCCTAGCTCATGTTTTCTAGACTTTTAATCATTTTTGTTGCTCTTCTCTGGACCTTCTCCAATTTTTCCACATCTTTCTTGAAATGTGGCTCCCTGAACTGGACACAATCCTCCAACTGAGGCTTAATCAGCACAGAGTAGAAGAAGAATGACTTTTTGTGTCTTGCTCACCACATTCCTGTTCATGCATCCTAGAATCCTGTTTGCTTTTTTTTGCAACGGTGTCACACCAATGACTCATGTTTAACTTGTGGCCCACTATGACCCTTAGATCCCTTTCTGCAGGACTCCTTCCTAGACCGTCACTTCCCATTCTGTGTGTGTGAAATTGATTGTTCCTTCCTAAGTCAAGTACTTTGCATTTGTCCTTATTAAACTTCATCCTATTTACCTCAGACCATTTCTCCGGTTTGTCCAGATCATTTTGAATTTTGACCCTGTCCTCCAAAGGACTTGCAGCCCCTCCCCGTTTGGTATCATCCGCAAACTTAACAATCGTACTCAAGAGGCAAAGGCCTGGCAAGACTCAATTATCCTGTCACTCATGAAGAAGGGCTGAGGCAGGGTGCTGAGAGGAGCTGGAGTGTTTATAACATAAGAATAAGAAACCCAGAAAGGTGAAAAACGATCATGTGGATAAAGCAAAAGAGAAACAAATGACTCGGTCCAGTACAGAAGACTTGATAAAGGGGGAACAATTACATCAGTCAGTAGAGAGCAGCAGAATCTTTTTCAGTGTTTTCCCTCCACTGAGACTGAAGCAAGTTCCCAGCACAGAGTGAAGGAATTGTTAGAAATGGGATACAGATAAACAGCTGCAGTAAGATCATGACAGACACCATCATGTAATTTTTAGTGAACATAAGCCACGTGAACGATTTCATCGGCGAAAAAATCTCAGAGGGGCCGCCGTGTTAGTTTGTAACTTTAAAAACGAGGAGTCCTGTGGTATTTTAGGGCATGTCTACACTGCAGTGTTATTTTGAAATAACTCCCCTTATTTCAAAATAACAGCGCGTGCGTCTACACAACAAGCCTGTTATTTTGAAATAATTTTGAAATATTTACACAATTAACATAGCTGAAGTTACGTATCTTAATTTGACTTTAGCCCACAGTGTTGACGTACCCTTAGAGACTAACCAAAGTATATAGAATCATGAGCTTTCGTGGATAAAACTCACTTCATCAGATGAATTGGAGTGGAAATAACAGAAACCAAAAAGCTCAAATCCTGACTCCAGTGCTTCATAGTTCAATTTTTTTTTAATTTGGCGAGTAACAGGGCTTCCCTCACATCCCTTGAGAAGCTAATTCACAGTTTAATATTTCGAAGGAGCAGTTTTTCCCGATATCCAGCCTTGACCTGGGGAATATCAGGATACTCTGACGAAGGGTGTATACTGTCGACACAACTCTGGTTAACTTTTCCCCCAGGCTTTCTGCTCGGGCCACGCTTCCCATCACGGGGAAGGTGGGTGGTGCGTGGCCTGAGTCTCCCCAGCCCTGGAGCACGGGGAGGGGAGGACGGTGTGCAGCCCTCAGCCTCCCCATCCAGGAGCACAGGGAGGGAGGGTGCTAGGGGCAGCAACACTCCACCCCGCGAATGCCTACAGTAGGCGTTCTGGGGGCAGAGTGTGGGCGGGGCCAAGCTGGCGGCTTGGGGAGGCAACCCCCCCCCCTGCCTCGCACACCGGTCGCCCATGTAAATATTGTCAGTTATCTGTGCGCATGAGCAGCTCTGAGAAATGTAGTGATGCTATTTAGAGCCCGGAGGAAATATATGGGGAAAACGCATCCCGACGGGCCATTTGCAGACCGTTGTTAAGCCACACCGGTGTGGGCAGTAGGGGTGTGGCAGGGGCTGGCCCTGCTGCCGACCTGCCATTGGATCCACCAACCCTGGCTCCCAGCATCAAGGAGGCCCCTCCAAGGTCCCGCTGGCTTCGCCTCCCCCCGGAGTCCCACCAGCTCCGCTGCTACTCGGGGTCCTGCTCCTGGCTTCGGCCTGGGGCTCTGTAGCCGCCCTCAGCTGTGGCGAGGAGCAGACGTACCAGAGCGACCCCAGCTCGGAGTGGGGAGGAAGCTCGGCATCTCACCCACATACTAGCTCCAGCACCCCCTGTTCAGCCCACCTGTATCTGAAAGCCCTTGAGTACAAAAAGAGCAGGAAAATGACAGGGCTCAAACCAGCCACATCAGAGACAAGCCCTCACCCAGCAGGGTGTTATCTGAGGCAGTCCTGTGCAATCTCCTATTGCCAGGGTTACACGGTGTTTTGGATGACTGGGCACAATCGATCCGACTGAACCTCAGGCTTACGGTGTGTCTAGACTACAGGATTTTTCGAAAAAAGTGGCCTTTTTAAAAAAAAAAGTCCCCTGTGTCTAGACTGCCGCTGCGTTCTTTCGAAAGTAAATCGAAAGGACGCGGCAGGTTTTTTGATCGCGAAAAACCTCGTTTTACGCGGAAGAACGCTTTTCAAAAGTGCTCTTTCGAAAAAAGGCGTTACTGAACATGAACTGTGCTTTTTCGAAAGAGAGCATGAAGACTGCCTGGGTGCTCTCTTTCAAAAACGGCTCGCTTTTTCAAACGTACTGGCTGTAGTCTAGATGCTCTCTTTCGAAAGAGGCTTGTAGTCTAGACGTACCCTTAGCCCAGCTCTCCATAAAAGTCAGCCAGACTGCCAAGGCAGCCCTGCTGCTCTCCTGGCTGCTCCTTGACTCTGCCTCGACGTCTCTCTAACTGCGGCCTGCCAGACCTTGAGAGAGCTGTCCTCACTGTGGGGCGAAGCCCCAAGGGAAGCAGGTGGGGACACGTGGACATGCCGGGAGCCTCTACCTTGTTCGGGCCATCACGTTGTTCTTCTTGGGCTGCTGATTAACTGGGCTTCCCATGTTGCCATTCTTCAGCGACCCCTTCCGAGCTAGCTCCCGCTGCTTCTCTGTAGAAGGAACACAAAGAGGAAAGCAAAGTCAGGGATGTTATTTGTTTGGCTACC